TTGAAATTAAAATGAAACAATTTGAGGTTTAATTAGTAACAGAGTTAAATGTCAGAATTATGGAGTTGCAGAAAAACCAAATTGCAAGACAAGTATCATATAATGTTTATACAAAGTCTGAAAATTGCTGCTCATGACTATATGGATGCCTTCATAACAAAAATATAATACATAAGTCACAAAAGGACATGATCACAAAATTATAAGGAAGAGGACTGAGGATTGATACATGTCACATGTTACTTATATCCTCCTTTTTTCTTTTTCTTCTCTCTTTCTCTCTAAGACAGGGTCTCTCTAAAACAGGCCAAGGACAATGAAAACAAGAGACTTTCTTTGACTGTTGGAAGGAGTCTACTATCAAACACCAAATGTTTAGTTTCAATTAGAAGTGAGGATAGAAACAATCCAGCTCTGGCTGGTTTGGAAAATACTATGTAGACCAGACTGTCCTTGGACTTGTGATAATCTTCTTGCTGCATCCTCTCAAGTACACTGAGATCAAAAGTGTATCCTCTCATACTTGGTTTTTAATATTTTTTATTTTGCATTTTAAAAAAAGCTTATGTTCTTGCCAGGCATGGTAGCACACAGCTATAATCTCAGAACTCAATGAGGCTGAGTCAGGTGGAGAATCACTGTGTGTTTGAGGCCAGCCTGGTCTACAAAGCAAGTCCTGGATAGTCAAGGCTACACAGAGAAACCTTGTTTCGAAAAACCAAACTCCTCCCCAAGAAATTATATTCTTTTCTCCTATATTACATCCTGACCACAATTTCTCCTCCATCTTTTTTCCTAGCCTCTCCCTCTTATGTCTCCTTTCCCCTAGATCCACCCTCCCTCCCTTCATAAAAGAGCAGTTGATTCTGTGAGCTATGTTCTCGTGGTGTTTCCCTGCAATATTTGTTTCTTAAAACACAAAATGAAAGTTGTTGTAAGATTAACTAAAACTGAGTGGTGGGTATATATATTTGTGTTATTGTTCACAGGTTTCCCTGCATCAGCAATCCTTTGCAATCAATGAAAACAAAAAGAAAATAATCTAGGAGAGGGTGAGCAACATCTGAAGCTAAAATTAGGCCAAGGACAATGAAAACAAGAGACTTTCTTTGACTGTTGCAAGGCATCTACTAGCAAACACTAAATGTTTAGTTTCAATTAGAAGTGAGGATAGAAACAAGGACACAGAGAATGGAAGGAGGGAACTCTGTCCTGAAAAAGTAGAGACAATAGACCACATACTGAAGAGTTTTAACATACTAAAATCTGTACACCTAAAGAAGCTAAGCAAGAAGGAGGACCCTGGGTAAGATGATCAATCCTTACCCAGAAACACAATTGGGATCGACTTTGGAAAAAGGAGAAAACATGAACCAAGACAGGAGCCTACCACAGAGGGCCTCTGAAAGACTCTACCTAGTAGTGTATCAAAGCAGATGCTGAGACTCATAACCAGACTTTGGGCAGAGTGCAGGGAATCCTATGAAAGAAGGGGAAGATAATAAGACCTGGAGAGGACAGGAGCTCCAGAAGAAGAGCAACAGAACCCAAAAATCTGGGCACAGGGGTCTCTTCTGAGAGTGATACTCCAACCAAGGACCATTCATGAAAATAACCTAGAACCCCTGCCCAGATGTAGCCCAGGGCAGCTCAGTGTCCAAGTGGGTTCCCAAGTAATGAGAACAGGGACTTTCTCAGTGACTGGTTCTTTGTTCACCTTCCCCTGAGGAGGGAGCAGCCTTCCCAAGCCACAGAGGAGGACAATGCAGCCTGTCCTGATAAGACCTGATACGCTGGGTGCTGGGTCAGATGTAAGGGGAGGAGGACTCCCTTATCAGTGGACTTGGAAAGGGGCATGGAAGGAGATGAGGGAGGAAGGGTGAGACTGCGAGGGAATGAGAGAGGGGAACTACAGCTGGGATACAAAGTGAATAAACTGTAATTAATATAAAAAATAAAAATTCAATTAAAAAAAAGAGTTTTAAAAGTAAAAAAAAAAAAGAAAAATAATTAACTTACCTAGAAGTGTAAAACAGGATTTTGACAGAGCCAGAAGGCACTTTAAAGCAAAGGGAAAGGAACCAGCACATGTTAGATTAAATAGGCTGCAAGAACCCATGCAAATTCTGTCAGTAATTTGGAAGGACAAGGGTCCAAGTGGATATGGAGGAACCACCTTTGGAGAAAAGGCAAGATTCTGTTTCCTCCCAGTTTATAGTAACACCTGCACTTAAAATAGAGTCTACCAGATAGTGATTTTTGAGGTAACTCTTCATTGTATTAATTGAAAATTAAGGGATTGTATAGAAACAGAAGCATATTGATGTTAGGACACTAAAAGATAAGTCTTCCATAAAGGTAGTGATGGCTGCATATAAATGACACTCAAAGGCTTGGGATGTAGCTCAGTGGTGAAACACTTGCCTAGAAGTGTGAGCATTCCATAAAAAGTTAAATGGTCATGGAACAAAGTTCAAGTAAATGTATGTTTAAGGAAACATAAATCTCACTAGCATCCCAGTGTGATTGAGTGCTCAGTGTGTACCTTTTATCTAGCACACAGTGTCTATTAGAACTCTCAGGATTTTCAGAGACAAAATGACAACTTGAGATCTTGGACACGGATGTACCTCAGTGGCAGAGCTATTGAGTAACAACTGAGATACCCTGGATTCAGTCTATAGAACTGAAAAAACAAAATTTACATCTTTAAGATCTTAAAGCTAAAAATACTAATGAAAGCAGTAAACAAAAATAAAATAATTCATAGTCAAGTAGCTACAAGATAATATGTTCTGTCAAGTATATAAACTGTTAATTTTTTCCAAAACCCATTGTATTTTGTTTTGCAGTGTTTTTTGGCTTGCTTATGCTGGTTTAATGTTCTACCACAGAGTGTTCAACCCATGCTTGAACATGGCTCCTAGCCCTGAAGCCCATGATATCTGAAAACTGTTTTTAGGTCGGACCTCCGTCCTTCCCAAGCCTGCATAATTATTATAGGAGAAATCACAGCCATCATAAATTAAATTAGTCATGCACGTACAATTTTACAAACAAAATCACAAAAGCCCTTTCAAAAATTTATAGCAAAATATAAATGTTTAATTCAGGACAGGATGCATTTTAATATGTGTAATTTGATACTGGCTGGAGCTTCACAAGTCAGAGTGTTTAGGCTCTGTGAAGTCAAAAACAGGCCTGCCTGACACAGATGAGGCCAGGAGGGAAGATTGCATGTAGATGAGTCAGCAGCTAGAGGCTGGAAGGCAGGCAGAACCACGACATAAATGATTCATTGATTTTTAAATTACCACTATAGAAAAAGCCTTGCTTTTCACATACAGAGGTTGGTATTGCTTTCCATACAGAACTGCATAAAGAGCTCATTCTTATTTACATGTTTCTGTTTTACATTTCTGTGATGTACCTCTAGTTAGGCATTTTTTTCTATATGTTTTCCTTTTGTGTAGAATTTGGACTGAGAAAGGTTTATTACCTGAGGTTATGTATACTCTAGAGAAATGGTGAGAGGCCCAACAAACTAGCCTCCTTTGGCATATAATGTCCTCCAGACCTTCCTTTTTCCCTAAGCTTCATCTCCCATTTGGCATTTCCTCCTCTCCTGGCTAAGTTCTCCATTTCCTGTATACATCGTTTTTGTCTTTTGATCATGTCTTTGGCTTTTCTTTGCACATATTGAATCCCACAGTCAGGCATTACCCAGACCTACTTGCCTTCTCACAGAAGCTAAAGAAAGCTAATTGAAACAACACAGAATCAACCTGTCTTTCTAGGATCCAAGGATCTGTCTTCATTGCATTTTTGTTAGTTGGTTGATTGAATTTTTTCTTGTAATTTTAAAATTATATTTGAGTGTGTGTGTGTGCATGTGTGTATGACATGTGTGTGACATGTGTGGTCAGCAGAGGAAAATTTACGGGAGTCAGTTATTTCCTTTCTGCATGTGTATCCCAGGAAGTGTAGTTAGGTTGTCAAGTTTGATAGCAGGTACATTTACACTCTGAGCCACCTCATCAGCCCTGGCTTTTGTTTTGTTCTGTTTTGTTTTTGAGACAGGATCTCTCATTCAGGCTGTCTTAAAAACTCACTATATAGAGCAGGCTGGTCTCAAAATCACAGCAATCCTCCTGCCTCAACCTCACAACACCACCACCTGCTGGGATTACAGATGTGAATCACCATACATGACTTTTAAATATATTTTTCTTCAATTAAATAAGGAAAAACTTTGGGACTTACACATGCTAGGCCAGTGTTCTTCCACTGAGATTCATCCACAGTCCCCAAAAATGTCTTTTCAGAGATACAGGTTAAGACTATTCTTTATAGACTTTAATTGAATTCAATTTTAATTAAATTCAATTTAGCCATCTTGCCTTTGAAATTGAACATGTGTAGTAGTTAGAGGCAGCAAGAAGCTGGTCTTTAGTTGGTTATTTGCTTGAACACTACTAGCTTAGTTTTGACCTTTATTGTGGGGCTCTGCTGGATAAGGTTGAAGTCAGTCATCTCTGGATAACTATTTATTTGTACTTGTACTATTATGATAGACTCCCTTTTCTCAGAGGGCTTCTAAAAGTCTCCCAGGATCTGGGTGACCCCAGGTCTTATAAGGAGTGTCATATAGCCCTCAGGGCAGATTATAGGTCAGACCCTTCCCTGATAAAGAAACAGTTCTAGCAAGCATCTGGAAATTCCTAGAAATGACCCACCCTGCTGAGGGTCTTAGTCTTCAGCAGTGATCTTCAACTATACTTGAAGATTTTCCCCTCACCCTTAGGATAATTAAGTACTATGTTCTCCTTCTTGTGATAGGTTCATGCTACTTCATGGAAAATAAGACCCACTACCACTACATGACCCCAAAGAATCAAACACATTCACCCTTGAAATCCATCCCACTGCCCAAGGTTTATAAATGCCTGATTTCAAATAAACATGCTGGGGGTGCATGCTGGGTGATAGCATCAGCCACCATGACCACCTGCCATTCATCATTCATCCCCCTGCAGGCCATGTTTCACTGGATCTGCCCTCCAGCCAGCTGGGCCTGGGCCCCCAGGCCTGGGTCTCACAAGATCTGGGTCTGAACAAGCATGGGCTTTTGCCTACAACTCTGCCATGCTTAGCACAGCTGCTTAACCAAGAGCTGTAACACTTTGGTATCACCATAGGTTTTGGAACACTGGAGTTTCCATTGCTACCAGAGACCTGGCGCTAAAAGAGCCAAACTGTAACACTCTATGGAAAAAAGTACTATGGCCTAGTGCAATCAGGCCTTTCTCTAAAGTGCTCTAGCTTCCCCTGAGAGAGATGGAACCCTGTTCTTCATCCAGAAACTGAACTTCAGGACCCCGCCAAACAAAAAACAACACTTTACAGAAAATTAAATTACAAAAGGGTCATAAAATTCTCAATATCTTTCCAAAGAATCACAGATGGTGATGTTGAAATACAGAGTATAAACTGATAAAACATGTACAAATTGTCAAGATGATACTCATCAAACCCATAAGCTGATCAAAATTCTTAGATTCAAAATAAAATTCTTAGATTCAAAAATTTTTTTGAGTACTTTGGAAAGCCTAAAGAAAAGAACCCTAAATTTCAAATTGGTGACTCATTTATTGGGAATAAAATTAGCCACTTTTGAAAAATTAAAATCTCTGATTTCATGTGTAAACACAAAAAAATATCAAAATATGCAAGTCAGTTTATTTTATTTTATTTTTTTTATTTTGATTTTTAAATTTTTTTTTTTATTTTTCTTTTTAGTTACAATTTGTTAACTCTGTGTCCCAGCTGTATCCCGCTCCCTCATTCCCTCCCAATCCCCAACTCCCTCCCTGGTCTCCTCCCTGCCCCTTTCCAAGTCCACTGATAGGGGAGGACCTCCTCCCCTTTCATCTGACCCTGTTTTATCAGGTACCTTCAGGGCTGGCTGCAAAGTCCTCCTCTGTGGCCTAACAGGACTGCTCCTCCCCTGGGGGGGGGGGACAAAGAGCCTGCCCTTGAGATCCTGTTAGAAATAGTCCTTGTTCCCCTTACTTTGGAAAACTACTTGGTTACTGAGCTACCACGGGCCACATCCGAGCAGAAGTTCTATGTTATATCTATAGATGGTCCTTGGTTGAGTGTCAGTCTCAGAAAAGGCCCTGTGTTTTTTTTTTTATAAGAATGGAATTCAAGAATTGGACAGATTTTTTAGGGGAGGAGACAGACTTTTATTATCCTTACCATAATTTTTATCTTTTAACAAAGGTGACTCAGATGCTTGAGACAGGAATTTAACCCAGTGACTGGGTAAAATTTAACTGTATAAGGTCAATATACCAACAGAAATCACTGCTAAGGGGCGTTAGTTATGAATTCTAAATGTCAGACATTTTATTACTAGTTTTTAAAGGTAGCATACAAAGTAAAGGGTTTCATTGTGACATTTTCATACAAATGTGTTATTATTATACTTTGTTCTCATTTAGTCTCCTTGCTCACTACCCTCTCTTGTATCGCCACTAGCTCACTCTCTTCGTTTCCCAGGCAATCTTCCCTTCAGTTTTGTTCTCACAAAATGACAGTTTTGAAAACAGTTTCTGTTTGTGAATGCTGGAAGGGTAAGTAATATTTAATCAACACAGCGATCAATATAGTAAGATGATCTGTGAAGACTGCCAGAGTGCAACCACTTTGTGGGTTTATTGATGCAGTACAAGTGTAGTACAAGACTGGTCTCAGTGCAGGTGTCATGGAGGGAGGAAGAACCTATCCTTGGTGTTCATTTTAAGTCTCAGTCTGGGGTATAAGAAACATATTTGGGAAGAGTTCCTGCTGATAAATACATGTTACATCCCTCACTTCTATCTCTCTAGGTGCAACAAACAAAAGCCAAAGAAGTGATAAGAACACACATAGGAAGAGAAGAGAAACAAAACATGGAGGTCTTGTAGGAATGATGGGATGAAACTGCACTAGGAAGCATTAGGGGCCCGGCCCTTAGAGGCTGGTAAGAAGGATGACTTCCTTAATAGATGGCAGCTGTGTGGTTAACTGTACACCCCAGGGAAGATCTATGAAAAATATAGCCAGAACTCAAGAAATGAGCTCATCCCCTACTCTCCAACTAGTGTTTCAGTCTTGTTAAAGAAACTCTGGAGTTCAAAATCACTGAGTGTTCTGAAAAAGGGACAAGATAGATTCTAAATTTGATTGAGTCAAAGTAGGAAATGACTGAAAGAATTCCCAAATAATGAATTGGCTGAATTTTATGAGGATATCCTAATCATTGTTCTCAGGAAGAGTGGTGCCTTTGGAAAGAAATACTATCTCGATTTGGGCTGTTTGAAGTCTAGAATGTAGTCTCTATTGCTTATGGAAGTACAGTAAGCACTAAGTAACCCACACAGTAGCATTTCCATAAGCATCTGTGAAACACACAGTATTTTTATAGGGATCTGTTAAAAATTTCATACAGAAAAAGATAAATGACTTAGAGTTTCCCTAAAGGTGTTAAATATCAAAACAAATAGCAAAATGAAGTCTCATTTTTTGAACACACATTCCTTACTTCAAAGTCAGCATTAATTTAGCTATATCTGTCCTCCATCTCCTCTGTTATTTTACCTGATGGAACCCTCAGTTCTTCAATGCTCACCTTAATAGGGTCTTCTTCTTTGTCTTTCTTCTCCTAATACTGTTCAGCTGGAAAGGAATACTACCTCTTCTGTATAACAATGACTCTTTGTACATTTTATAAAATTTCTTGGAACTCTTCAAGTTTTGTTTTTTATCATGTTGTAGAACAAAGGAGCATGTAATAGCCTCTGCTCATTCTTATCTCTACTCAGCCACCATTTTTCAACACTTTATAGTCACCCTTTGAGAAGTAAATGCTTATAAAATATCTGTTTATATTCCCAATTTCAAAGGGCTTCCAGTGCCTGGCTTTGTATAGCAGGGTAGTCCCTCCCTGTGTTAAGTTCAGGAGGTCATTGTGTGAAGCTGTTAAAGTGAAGCCTGGGTTGCAGTGGAGACGATAAAGTTAACCAGATGCCAGAGCTATGGGATATCAACCAATGTTACATAGAGTGAAATCATCCCAAGAGAGTTGTAGGAGGAGTGGAGTCGTCGAAGCCCATTGATAATGGATATGAGTCTACAGGTTTTGCTGTTTGCCCTGATGGGTTTGGATCTCGCTTTGGTCCAGATTTCCTTTACTATGCTTCCATTCTTCCTTTTCGAAATGATAACACATATTCTGTGCCATCATATGTTGTGTGGTGGTTTGAATAAGAATGGCCCCCCATAGGATCATAGATTTGAATGGTTGGTTGCCAAAGAGTGGCAATTTTAGTAGGTGTGGCTTTGTAGGAGTAGGTGTGTTTTGTTGGAGGAAGTATGTTACTAGTGGTAGGCTTTGGAGTTTAAAATGCTCAAGCCAGGCCTAGTGTCTCTCTCTTCTATCTATCAATCCAGATGGAAAACTCTCAGCTACTTTTCTAGCACCATGTCTGCTTGCATGCCACCATGTTTCTTGCCATGATAACAATGGATCAAGCCTCTGAACTATAAGCTAACTCCAATTAAATGCTTTCCTTTATAGGAGTTGTTGTGGTCATAGTGTCTCTTCACAGTAATAGAACAATGACTAAGACATGTTGGAGATATGTAATTTGCTTTTGGGGATTTTACAGTGTGTTACATTAAGAGATTGCCTTGTGTATCAGAAAAGATTTTGGACTTTAAATAGTGTTTAGACTGAGAAAGACTGTGGGTATTTTTAAAGATGGATTAAGTACATTTTACATTATGATACAGCCATGAGTCTATTGGGTCTAGAAAGTGGAATGTGGTGATTTGAATGAGAAATGTTCCACATAGGCTCAGTAATTTGAATATTTGGTTTCCAGTTGGAGGGAATGCTTGGGACAGTTTAGGGGGTGTGGTCTTGCTGGATAAAGTATGTGACAGGTGGGGGTGGGGCAAGCTTTGAGTGTTTATGTTCTCACAGCACTTCTAATTTACTTTCTTTGCATTGTGCTTGTGTTTAAAAATGTGACTTCTTTATCCTATACTATATGACTAAAATCTACTTATAAGTGAGTACATACCATGTATGTCTTTATGGGTCTGTGTTACCTCACTCAGGATGATTTTTTCTAGTTCCATCCATTTGCCTGCAAATTTCATGACTTTTTTTTTTGTTTTTAATGGTTGAGTAGTATTTCATTGTATATATGTGCCACAAGCACTTTATCTATTCTTTGGTTTAGGGACATCTAGTTTGTTTCCATAGTACAGGATAGACATACTACAATGTACAAACCCCACAAAGATAAGTAACAAGGAAGACCCCATGGAGGACGAGTAAATATCAATCAGAAGGGGAAATAGAATAGACAGGTAATGGTGGAAGGGTGAGAACAAGGACCATCAGAGCCAGTTAACCATGGCCCAGAGGGGCCTATGGAGTCTGAAGCACCAACCAAGGACAATGCATGGTCTGAACCTAGATCCTCTACTTATAAATACTCATTGGGTATCTTAAGCTTCATGAGGGCCTAATAGTCAGAGGAGTGGGGGACATCTCTGACATTGACTATGTTACCTGCTTTTTGATCACTTTCCTTTGATGAGACTGCTCTACAAGGCCACAGGGGAGGAAGGTAAAGTCAGTCCTCATGTAAATAGATGAGCTGGGGTGTCTGGGTAGAGGGCGGCTTCCCTATTATGAAGAAATAAGGGGAGGAAGGATGCAGGAGGATGGGTGGGACTGGAAGGAGAGGAGGGAGGGACCTATGACTGAGATATAAATTGAATTAATTAATTTAAAAAATAAAGATGTGAGCTCTTCTGCTTCCCTTTGCAGCTACCAAGTCTTAAACTTGCTGCCATGCCTACCCACCATGATAGATTCTTATCACTCTGGAACTGTAAGCCAAATTAAACTCTTCCTTCTAAAATTGCTCATTATATTTTCTCAAAACAGCAGAAAAATAACCGATACTGTGAAGGAGCCATGAAAATGATATATGCATGGCTCTTTCTTTTTGTTGTTCCCAGGCTCTGAATTTGGATTTTGTGTCCC